AAGATCCTTTCAGATAGGAACCTTATCCAACCCTTCTACTCCTTCATTTGTTCCTTGCTGTTCAAATATCTAAACGGACTTTCTATTCAGTGAATAAATAACAAAATATCACTATGCTGCCATTACCTTTAAAGTTTCTAAAGACTATGAACTACACAATACTTATGTCACTAAAAATGATGCTTGTATGGGAATTCTGTCTTCACATTGCTAAAACCCAAGTTAAGTTTTAGTGCTTTTACTCAACATAAGCATGCTGTTCTCAATCACCAGAAAATTGTAAAAAAATTATACAAGTGTGGGTTTTTAATGTTTCTTCATTAGGACATCCCCTCAGTATATCCATGGTCTCTGGAGGTTGATAAAATTGAATGAGCTCAACTTTCTAATTCAACCCTCTAATTAAGGATCTTAGAGAGTCTGGACCTCAAAGCAAAACAAATTTCCTCCTTCCCTGTTTAATCACAAGATAAAGAAAATTACCTTCTCTACTTTCTCTAGCCACAACTCTCTCTCTCTCTCTCTCTCTCCCTCTCTCTCTCTCTCTCTCTAATCTCTCTCTCTCTCACACACACACACACACACACACACACACACACGCACACACACACACACAGAGACAGAGAGACTCTTCCACTGAATTCATCCCAGCCCCCACAAAACAGACTAAGAAAGCAAGTACTTAAGAAGTTTTACACTTTTCTCTGCACTCCATGCTATTATTTAAAATAATTAACACATCTTTAAATCTCTACCACAGGGGAGGTTTAATTATTTAATCTATCTGAACAGGCATTTGAATTTATCATTAGTCTTTAATGACTTGGAAGAACTTTTTCAGACCCCATCAGAGGGAAAGGGGAAGGCTTCCTGCTCTTCGTTTTCTTTCTGCTCTTCAAAGTCTCTTACCTTCTTGAAGATGGCTGAAGACTTTTATTTTTTTAAGTGGCACACAAGGTCCCCAGTTAAGCACAATCTTTCTTCTACAAGGTAATCTCTTACAAAGAAATTACTTGATAGACTTTGAAATATATTTCCATCTATTTACACATTTTAAAACTCTGTACAGATTGTGACCATGGAAAGCATCCTGCATGACAAGCAAAGAAGCAGGAACTTAAGCCAATGAGATAATGCCCTTTCTCTTACTCAGAGTGTGTCACTCTGTGCTTTCATTTTCTGAAAAATGTTTGGTAGTTAAGCACTTTGCTTGTCCTAACAACATAAAGGGAAGTTTGTATATCTGAGAGAACATTCTGTTTCATACAGTTAAAAACTGCATTGTAAGGAGCATTCCCACAAATGCAAGGGTGGAATCCAGGTTGGGGGTTGTTAATTTCAGATTTCAGTGATTTTTTGATAACATATTATTAGTCAGCTGTCATTATAACAAAGTACCTGAGATAATTAACCTTTAATGAGAAAAAACTTATTTTAGCCCATAGTTTTAGAGGTTCTAATCTGTGATCTGATAGACTCATTGTCCTTGGTTCTCTGACGAGGCGTGCCAAGTGGCAATGGCAGGAAACCAACTATTCACCTCATGATCATGAAACCAAAAACAAGAGTTAGGGGCCAGGACCCTTTCCTCATCAGAGGCACAATCCCAGTGGCTTAAGAACCTACTTTAAGAAGTCCTCAGTACCTCCCAATAGAGCCATCTTGACGACTAACCCTTCAATATGTGGTCCTTAAAGAGACATCCAGGATCCAAAGTACAACACAGAGTTATGTGTAGAACAGAGCCACTGGGTAATCTGTGTGTCACAGGTGACTTTGAGCTGTAGGTTCCTGACTGACTAGGGATTACCAACACCAACATAGGTTGCTGTGCATTCTTCCTCATCTGTGTAACCTCCACTTAAAAGAAATAGCCTCCTGGTTTTCTCCAAATGAGGAAATGAGGCAGAGCCATTGGGAGATTGAAGTCGGTGTGTCTGCTTTGTGCTTCCCTTGATTTGGTTGTGATTATTCCTGAGCCAGAAGACAGTAAGCATAACTTGTTGTCATACAATGTTCTTTTCCTTGAGATTCTGCTTTTTATATCTTTTCGTGTAGAATGCCTGTGGTTTTCCATGTGGTAGGGCATGGCTTTTACTTTCAACTGCCATTTTGAAATCATAGTTCTTTCTAACTTCATCTGTCATTCAAGAGTGAATAATGCCAAGTTGTTCCCACAACCCCTTAATCATAGAAGAGGTTTGTTTTTCCAGTTAAAAACTGAATATCCGGGGCTGGGGGCATGACTCCCCAGCTAAGAGCACGTGCTGTCCTTGCAGAGGACCTGCTATGTGAGGCAGCTCAAACTCCTGTAACTCCAGCTCCAGAGGATCCAACATCCTCTCCTGAACTCTCTAGGCACCTGCTTTCTCACATGCACATACCCACACACAGACACACACATATACACATAATTAAACGTAAAATAAATCCTAAAAATATGAACATTCAAATTCACTACCACCTCTATCAAAGGGGAAGTGTCCCTATTGGACTGTTAGATCCCTTTTATTGCTTTTCTTTGAAAGATAATAATCATAGCAAGACGTTAGTGTGCTGTGACATGAAGATAAGAGCTGAAATGAGAAGTTCCAGTGTTGCTTCAAATATAAAATATTTTCATTTAAAACATCTCTAAAATATTTTATGAGTGAATATAGTACATGTAAATTCCATACAATTTTTAATTCTGATGTTTGTATACTATGCAATTATAAGTAAGGATCTGTAGATAATCAACCTAAGGTAAGAGTTGAGAATTTCCCTCTTGGGAAATTCAGTCTCTCCAGTGTCTGTTACGTGGCAGCCCTGCTCTCTACCAGCATCACTGATAATTATTTGGGTGTCAGACTGACTCTGCTTTGAGTGCATCCTATAGAAATTCCCTTTCCACAAGACTATGATATGTGATGTTTTTTCATTTTGTGTAAATAAAGTTATTCCATATTTTATGTTATTAGTAAAG